GACCACAGCTAACATTTGCTGACTCTGCAGAACAACGGGGGTCTTGTGGTCCCATCTGAAGGTGCTGTGAGGGTCATCAGAGCAGCAGAGTGGCCATTCGCCAGGCATCGGTGAGCAGACGGTCACAGCCCATCAAACCACTGGAGGTCGTCTACATTGTGCACAAGAGGATCGGGTCAGAGGACGTCTTTTTGCTCGGGGAGCTCATCAGTGAGACACCGTACGGACCTGAGTCTTACTCCCGTCCACTGTTGGCATCTGTTGTCTCCCTGTTCTTCAAGCTGAGGATGCAAGATTAGCAACTGTTAGCTTTCGGTGTGACAGAGTGAGACAGAAGCTCACAAAGCTGTCCTTTTCAAAGGTCTGTAGGAAATCACAATGTGCTTTAGCATCTGTCTTAGATCTGTTATTTTTATAATCACTGTAGCGTTAGGAAGTATAATGGTCTGCCCTTAACAGCTGCCCCTTCACACAGTACCATCGCCAAGGTCGGACGCTTGGTTCAGTATGTTTACAATCTGTAATAAACACGTTTTTCATAACTGTCAGTCTGTCATTCATTTACTCTTTCATTTTTGACGTGTTTATTTAGCCCTTTAACTCACAATTATCCCAGTTTTCTCTTCTCAAACTTTCATTCTAAATGGGTTTCAGGCTGAAAGTGGAAATAAGTTTAAATTATTATAATAACCTGCCAAAGCAAGTATATATTAGCTTCATATTACTTGCAAATATTAAAGTCAAAGTAAATAAAATATATTCTGTATATCTTCAGTTGTCTTTTTATGAAATATTGTCTCCGTCATTGAGGTTCTAGAGCTGTTTTGTTCTTTGGACTGGGTGTTTACATTTTGTTTGCTGCTTCTGTGTATTTATTTATTTTTTGTTTTACTATTTTCTGTAAATGAAATCAGGTATTTGAGTTTTTATTTATAAGTTGATAAGTTATAAGGTATCTTAAAACTTATATTTATAAGTTGACCTCAGTTAACAAACTACAGCTAGTTCATCAGAAGCACATCTTGTTGACATTAAAACGTTAAAGTCTATGGGAAATTTACAGGATGGGGGAAAACCGCTGGAAAGTGGAGTGAAATAAGGGGAGTTTCCTGCTTAAACTGATATATTTCATAGCCACGTGTCTCTAATGTTTCTAAAAAATCAAACCGTTTGAAAATTGAGAAAGTTAGAGTTGTTTAAATAGTGCATGCACCACTAAACACCAGTGTTAGAGGAGGGCAGCTGTCCGAAGTAAGATGGCCGCCGCGTATGGACGTCAGGGCCCATTGACGAACGGCTCGGGTGAGGGATCTAGTTAATTTATATCTATGGCTGCAGATTCAGGCCGACTGCAGATTCAGGCCTGTACTGCAGATTCGGGCCAACTGCAGATTCGGGCCTGTACTGTCTTTGAGACAGCGCCGCAGTTGCCAACCCCTCCCTGAGCATAGGATCCATCAGGTAAAAGGCCAGGTCAGAGCAGGATCTAGGTTGAAGATGGGTGCAGTTTGTGGGTTTTAGACCGTGAAAAGTTTGGAACCAACCTCGCCACACAGCAGGCCTTTGTTTTCCAGGAAAGTGGTCAAACAGGATCTGTCTCAAATGCAGGAAAGAAAACATCAACTATAAGAGCGTACGACACAAAAACGTGTAACAGTCAGGGTCCGACATACAATAGACTGGTTGGGTGACCATCTTGGAAAAAAACATTATGATTGTTACGTGCCCTCTGGCGTCTAGGAGCAGCGAGGGGAGAACACAGAGAAAATAACACAATGTAAAAAGGAATGAATTCAGAGGGACGGTGTCTGGTTATGATGCATGAATGGAAGGAGGTTAACAAATGGCAGTTCAAAAGGTTTATTAACAAAAAGTTGGATAAAGGGTATTAAACTAAATAAACTCCCTCTGCTGAAACGGGGAGAAGACAAAATAACCAGCTTACAGCGGCTCTCTCTGGTTTAACCAGAGCGAGGAGACCAAAAGGGAAAACGCCTATTCAAAACTAAGCCAACTGTGGCAGTGAGTGTCCTGTCACAGTGTCCCGATTGATCATGCGCCCTGGCTACTTGGCCAAGGCGATGTCCCTTTGGCTGACTGGTTAGAGCGTATGACTCTCACCCGGGAGTCTGGGGATCGAATCCCGCCCGGGCCCTCGTTTATCCACCTTGCCACATTAAGGTCAAAGGAGTTAGTTTCGAAGAGGCTTCTTTCCCGATCTGGCCGAATCGGGTTCAGCTGGAAACCGCAGTAACCAGGAAGTAATTCTTGCTCTAATAAACTACTTTGTTATGATTTTGGCAAGTTTGACACGTTTCTGAGTATTTACCAACGTCCCTCAGAAAGCCACGCCCCCTCAGATACGAGATGTTTTTAACCTTAATGAGTATCTGATAGGAATGTGTGTAAACAACGATGAACTTGTTAAATCAACACATGCTGACATAAATGGATCATTGTAAGAACAATATTATACGCAGCGGCTAGATTCCTCACGCGTACTGACGGGCGCCAGCACATAACTCCAGTTCTCACACCCCTTCATGGACTGCCCGTCACTTTCAGGGTCCAATATAAAATACTACTTTTTGTTTTCAAATCCCTCCATGGTCTTGCCCCCGTGTACTTATCTGATCTCCTGGTCGCACACTCAGGTCCTCCAGCCGGTTGCTCCTCGAGGTCCCGAAAGCGTGTTATAAATCATGCGGACAAAGAGCTTTCTCTGTCGCCCGTCCTAAACTGTGGAACGAACTTCCAGTCGCAGTTCGACCGGCATCCACCTTGGCAGATTTTAAGTCTAGACTAAAGACACTATTTTACCCTTGCTTTCAACAGTTAGCTGTTAGTTTGGCTTTTACTTTTATTTTATCGTCCATTGTAAGGTTTCATTGGTTTGATTGGTACTTTTTTATTGGCTTGCTTCTTATTGGTTGACTGTATTCTATAGTACTGTTTCTGTTTTTATCTCTGTTATTGTGCGACTGATCAGCACTTTGGTCGGCCGTATGGCTGTTTTTACAGTGCTATATAAATAAAGGTGGTATGGTATGGTATGGTATGGTATGGTATGGTACATTCATTTCTAATTCAGTGATTAAAGCACAGATTATTCACACATTTGTCTTAAACATCTTGTTCATTCATCACATCTGATTATTTAAGCTTATCAGTTGTAAAGTCATGGAGTCTTCCCTTGTTCAGAGTGAAGCATGATGACGTCTGGCGTTCACAAAGAGCGCAGGGCCTTGGGAGAGAGAGTGTGTGTGGATGTTCTGTCTTCTGTATGTAAACACGCGCTGAACAGAACCTTCTGGTTCTGGACGGCCACCTGGACAGTGGATTTATGCTGTAGATGAAAGGTTAGCATGTTGGTCACTATATAGGTGAAAATGGACCCGTTTGGTACGTTACACAGCCAGTGAACGGGGTCGTCACAGCGTGGAAAGCTACGGAGACGCAAAAGTCTGCAAAAAATAACGCCGCGCACGTGGTGCTAAAACACCTTTAACAAGGTTGGCAGGTCTGAGAATAGAATAGAATAAAAACAACAATCCTTTATTATCCCACCAATGATTCATTCAGGTGTTCCACAGAGAAGGTGTAGGAGACTATTTCTGATTCAAACGGGTCACTCTGAGTTTTTCATGCAGGCTAAACATGAAAATAATGATTAACAATGTTTTTCAGTGAACCACACCTTTAAAGGAGACCACTGAGTCCATGACCTCAGGAGGACAACAGCTACAACCCCTTCGCTGATGCCTGCAGTACCACACAGGCCTGAGTACCACACAGTCTGCAGTACCACACAGCCTGCAGTACCACACAGCCTGCAGTACCACACAGCCTGCAGTACCACACAGTCTGCAGTACCACACAGCCTGCAGTACCACACAGCCTGCAGTACCACACAGCCCTGCAGTACCACACAGCCTGCAGTACCACACAGCCTGCAGTACCACACAGCCTGCAGTACCACACAGTCTGCAGTACCACACAGCCTGCAGTACCACACAGCCTGCAGTACCACACAGGCCTGCAGTACCACACAGGCCTGCAGTACCACACAGCCTGCAGTACCACACAGCCTGCAGTACCACACAGCCTGCAGTACCACACAGCCTGCAGTACCACACAGGCCTGCAGTACCACACAGGCCTGCAGTACCACACAGCCTGCAGTACCACACAGCCTGCAGTACCACACAGCCTGCAGTACCACACAGCCTGCAGTACCACACAGCCTGCAGTACCACACAGGCCTGCAGTACCACACAGCCTGCAGTACCACACAGCCTGCAGTACCACACAGGCCTGCAGTACCACACAGGCCTGCAGTACCACACAGCCTGCAGTACCACACAGCCTGCAGTACCACACAGCCTGCAGTACCACACAGCCTGCAGTACCACACAGCCTGCAGTACCTTACAGGCCTGCAGTACCACACAGGCCTGCAGTACCACACAGCCTGCAGTACCACACAGGCCTGCAGTACCACACAGCCTGCAGTACCACACAGGCCTGCAGTACCACACAGGCCTGCAGTACCACACAGCCTGCAGTACCACACAGGCCTGCAGTACCACACAGCCTGCAGTACCACACAGCCTGCAGTACCACACAGGCCTGCAGTACCACACAGCCTGCAGTACCACACAGCCTGCAGTACCACACAGCCTGCAGTACAACACAGGCCTGAGTACCACACAGCCTGCAGTTATTACAACGTTACGTCGTTTCTTTACTTCATTCCTTTTCACAAAGCCTGTTAGGTTTTGATGATTCCCTCAAAACTCAGCATTTGTTCTTCGGACAACGAGGCGTGGGAAGAGAGCGGATAAGCTTCGCAGGAAAGCAGGAAGTTCCCCACAAAGATGCCCGAGTGTTTTTCATTCCAAGGGTCAGGGTTAGAAGAGCTTCTCAGACATCAGGGACACAAGACGGATGGCGTCAGTGACGCCTCTGCAGGTATCGACAGGAAGAAGAAGAGTACGTGTCATTCATCTTGTTCTGCTACTTTATTTCACGTTGCACTAAAATCAGCTGTACAAGATTAGCTCCGTGTTGAAAACGGAAACAACATTCAAGCTACAGCGGCCCTTCTCATCAGTCCATCACCAGCACACACGTGGATAACGTCCAGAAGCACGGGCTCACGCAGCCTCAGGACTTGAGGAACACTTCAAACAGACTGGCGACTGCATGCATGCGGTAGAATATGCCGAAGGGAAGACCCACGTTCACAACCGCTGCCCACATGCTGAACTGGTAGAACTGAGTTTCAGTGTCATGGTCAAACTGGGGACGAGCGCCAAACGCAGGCATGATCCACAACTGTGAAGAAACAAGCCAAAAGATTACATTTGGAGAAGTTGAAAGCGTCAACGTGAAGACCCCGGGGGAAGGACACTCACTATGATGTTGCACAGAAGCAGAAAGGCACACACCTCCCTCAGGACACGCCTCTTCCACAGCAGCGGCGGTGCTGCCGTCCCACCGCGGCGGGCTGCTTTCTCTGGCTCTGCCATCTCGAGGTTGCTCACACCCTTGCTTGTCTCCGTGACGTACGGATTCACCACCACCGTGTCTGGCTCCGCGTGGCGGTACGGCTCCCGGTGCAGACCTTCAACGATGAAGAAGTTCTGAAGGCCCAGCTGGATCACCATCAGCAGACCCCAGGCCAAGTTGAGTCTGTTCAAGTGGCCCTCGGCTCCGGTCGCTATCATGGCTACGATGGAAAAGTAACTGATGACGAACTGCCCCAGCGAGGATCCCACCAGCAGTCCCACGTCCAGGCTGCGGGTGGGGTTCCTCTCTTTCACGTGGTCCCTGTGATCCACCTTGAAAATGGCGCTGCCTATGACGGTGCAGATGGACATCATACTTGTTATGACGATATTCACGATAAAGTACATCATCACTGCGTTGACTTTGCCTTCCTCGTCCTGATCACTGGCTGATATCTCGATCTCGTAGATGATGAACGTTGCCAGGCCTGCGACCACCGTCACGGCTCCAACAGCAGGACCAACGAAGACGCCTCTCAGGTTGAATTTGATGTGGTGGCTGAATTCAGGGTTTACTCTTCCGACATTCTTCCACATGACATACACCATGGCGGAGGCAAAGAGGCAGTACTCAATGTTGAAGGGGTACAGGTAGTAGTAGGCCTCCTTAAAGACGCTACAGGAAGTGTGACTACAAGTGCAGGACTCGTCTCCAAAACCAGCTGCAAGGCAAGAAGCAAAAGTTCAAATGGCGTCTGAGATCGGGTTGTTGCACAGCTCTAGCTGCTTTGCTCACCTCTACTAATGTACCAGCTACGCCCGAAGAGTTTAGTAGTGTTGCTGGGGAAGTCAGGGACTGTTGTCTGGTGAAGGGACTCCTCTGCGACCTCGGTCATCCACAGAACCAGATTTGTGGACAGCGTCAGCATCAGACCACAGCTAGGATGAGAAAACACGTAGAAAATTCATCTGAAAGCTTAGAAAGTTAAGCTCGATGACGAAGAGTAGCTCTTACCGTGAAATGCTTTTCTGGCGTTGCACGCAGTCTCTTGAATGAATCCAAAGAAAGTATGTCTGCAGGTGAAATTTACCGTGTAAACATTCTGCAGCCATCCAGAGTGAACTCGGTAGCGTTCCTGATTACCTGCACCAGCACAAAGACCAGCTGCACCACAGGGAAGGCAACCTGGACAGCCGAGTCGCAGTGGAGGAATCCCACATAGCTGGCGATCTTGAAGATGTCCATGATGATGCTGAGCATCCCAAACAGCAGAAGTCCACCTACACAACAAAGAGCAGTGGGTAGGAAAATCACTCATGACGATGGATTTAAGGGCTGCACAGCGGCGTACCTCTGAGCCACACTGGTCCAGCGTGCTCATCCCTGAAGACAACAGCGTTCTCCGTCTTGGCTGTGTGAATGCTGTAGTACATCATCCAGGCGGAGCTGAAGAGCAGGAGGACGATGAGGAAGAGCTGCAGGTCTGGGAAGCTGATGCTAGTTTTGCCAGAAGAGCCGCTGCTGACCAGGGAGCAGCCCAGCATCACAATGTTCAGACAGATGACACCGGAGAGCATCCACCCCCAACTCCGGCCGGTTTCCCCCACAGCTTGGCTGGAGACAGTGGTCTTGTCTTCGGTTGTGCTCCCGGCTGCATTCGTGTGGTTGGACCGCTGCACCTCTGCCATTTCTCTGTCCTTGGTGGTTGCCTTGCAGGGCTCACAGAGACCACCGCTGGTCCAGCATTCACACGGATCCGCAGGATTGATGCACATGGCTCTTCTCTCAACTATTTATTGAGAAGTGGGCTGTATATCTGGAAGCAGACGTGACAGGTTCAGTTAGGAGCCCCATAAAAGGCCGTTCCCACCCGGTGTGAAACGTTTGCTCCTCATAACTGCCACAGTAGACGTACACCCACAGCGTGATGTCTGTCTTTTCCGTAAAAACATTTACGTTTTGGCTTTCTAAAACGCTCAAGAGCAAAATGAAGGAATCTTTTATAAATCCACACTAAACATGTGAACTCACCTGGTGAGCTGAGGTCCTGCCAGGCGTCTGAACTGCTGCAGCTTTTATTCAAGCATGAAACGCTGCTGTTAGTGTGCAGAGTCAGAAGTGTCTCTGTGTTTTCAGCAGCAGCAACGTATCCTCAAACAGAGTGTGTTTACCCTAAATATTGCTGTACAGGTAAAAAAGTCCTTCTTGGAACAGCCTCTTCTCGTGTATTTGAAAATGCAAGAATCAAGTTGCTATTCAGATGACCTGCAGGACGTATAATAGCTCAAGAAACATTCTGATGGTCACACATTGTGAGAAGGTGGATTAGATGTTTATGAACAAAAGGCTTCATTCTCTCTTTGAGTCCAGGAATGTTTCATAGCGTTGTGTTTACACCTTCATCCTTTCTGCAGCTGCAGAGTGAGGACCTCACGCAGCCAGGCCACATGGGTGTCTTCTCCGCTGAAGGCCACAGCACCTATCTCTTCCATTCCTGGAGGAAACACACTGGCTTTGATGCGCAATGAGCAAATGTGCCTTTGTGTTTTGTTCCAGGTGAAGTGTCTGAGGTGTATTTGGAGAGTCAGGGCTGTTTGACTTGCAGGTTTCTGATTAATACCGTGTCTGAGATTAAAGCGGTGGTGTTACCAGGTGTGACCAGGTGTGACCAGGTGTTACCAGGTGTTACCAGGTGTTACGTGTTAGCAGGTGTTACCAGGTGTTACGTGTTACCAGGTGTGACTAGGTGTTACCAGGTGTTACGTGTTAGCAGGTGTGACTAGGTGTTACCAGGTGTGACTAGGTGTTACCAGATGTTAGCAGATGTTAGCAGGTGCTACTAGGTGTTACCAGGTGTTACGTGTTACCAGGTGTTACCAGGTGTTACGTGTTACCAGATGTTACTAGGTGTTACAAGGTGTTACCAGGTGTTACGTGTTACCAGGTGTTACCAGGTGTTACGTGTTACCAGATGTTACTAGGTGTTACAAGGTGTTACCAGGTGTTTCGTGTTAGCAGGTATGACTAGGTGTTACCAGGTGTTACCAGGTGTGACTAGGTGTTACCAGGTGTTACGTGTTAGCAGGTGTGACTAGGTGTTACCAGGTGTTACGTGTTAGCAGGTGTGACTAGGTGTTACCAGGTGTTACGTGTTAGCAGGTGTGACTAGGTGTTACCAGGTGTGACTAGGTGTTACCAGGTGTGACTAGGTGTTACCAGATGTTAGCAGGTGCGACCAGGCGTTAGCAGGTGTTACCAGATATTAGCAGATGTTACCAGATGTTAGCAGGTGTTATCAGATGTTAGCAGGTGCTACCAGGTGTTAACAGGTGTTAGCAGATGTTAGCAGGTGCTACCAGGTGTTAACAGGTCTTACCAGGTGTTACCAGATGTTAGATGTTACCAGGTGTTACCAGATGTTAGCAGATGTTACCAGATGTTAACAGGTGTTACCAGGTCTTACCAGGTGTTAGCAGGTGTGACTAGGTGTTACCAGGTGTGACTAGGTGTTACCAGGTGTTACCAGGTGTGACTAGGTGTTACCAGATGTTAGCAGGTGCGACCAGGCGTTAGTAGGTTTTACCAGATATTAGCAGATGTTACCAGATGTTAGCAGGTGTTATCAGATGTTAGCAGGTGCTACCAGGTGTTAACAGGTGTTAGCAGATGTTAGCAGGTGCTACCAGGTGTTAACAGGTGTTAGCAGATGTTAGCAGGTGCTACCAGGTGTTAACAGGTCTTACCAGGTGTTACCAGATGTTAGATGTTACCAGGTGTTACCAGATGTTAGCAGATATTACCAGATGTTAACAGGTGTTACCAGGTCTTACCAGGCGTTAGCAGGTGTGACTAGGTGTTACCAGGTGTTACCAGGTGTGACTAGGTGTTACCAGATGTTAGCAGATGTTAGCAGGTGCGACCAGGCATTAGCAGGTGTTACCAGATATTAGCAGATGTTACCAGATGTTAGCAGGTGTTACCAGATGTTAGCAGGTGCTACCAGGTGTTAACAGGCGTTATCAGATGTTAGCAGGTGCTACAAGGTGTTAACAGGTCTTACCAGGTTTTAGCATGTGCTACAAGGTGTTACCAGGTGTTACCAGATGTTAGATGTTACCAGGTGTTACCAGATGTTAGCGGGTGCTACAAGGTGTTAACAGGTCTTACCAGGTTTTAGCATGTGCTACAAGGTGTTACCAGGTGTTACCAGATGTTAGATGTTACCAGGTGTTACCAGATGTTAGCAGGTGTTACCAGATGTTAGCAGGTGCTACCAGGTGTTAACAGGTGCTACCAGGTGTTAGCAGATGTTACCAGATGTTAACAGGTGTTACCAGATGTTATCAGGTGTTAACGGTGTTAACAGGTGTTACCAGGTCTTACCAGGTGTTAGCAGATGTTACCAGGTGTTAGCAGATGTTAGATGTTACCAGGTGTTACTAGATGTTACCAGGTGTTACCAGATGTTACCAGGTGTTACCAGATGTTAGC